GCAGGGAAGACTGTATAAATCGCGTTAATAAGACCTTCCTCCTTATCTATTAAAATCGTCCGGGGGTATTTAAGCTCGAGTTTATTGTAGGCGTCTGCAAGGAAGTTAAGCACTACTTCGTAAGTCAGCTGCTATTCGTTTTAAATAAATACAAAGCTAAGATACGCCGATACGCTAGTCGCAGTAAAGCCCACAATATCTAGGAGAGGTAATCTAAATTAGTTAGTTTTATAAGTACAATCTATTGAAAGCATAAAGGGGTAGTACTTTAATATCTCTAGCGAGGCCTAGTGCATAGCAAAGAGAACCGTAATATACTAATTATTATCGAGCTAGTATCTAAATACTATAAGCGATAATACTACTAGTTATTATATCGACGATATATACCTAAAAACCTACTTCCTATCCTTCGGAAACTCTATTAGTAAGGCTTAGATTAGTGTTCGGCTAGCTAAAAACTCCTAGTTAGATCGCAGGCGCGTATTATTAATATCCTTCGGTATAAGATATATAGAGCTGTCTTCTAACTTAAGGATTAATATAATTTAGCGCGTAGGATATACGAGGCGGAACTAGGTTTAAATCTAATCGGCCTTCTAGTTAAGCTTAATTCTTCGCTAAGCTCGATAGGTAGTAGGTAGTAAGGCCTTATAGTTATAGGAGTTATCCTTAACGGTAAGAACCTAGTATCTAGATTAAAGCCGAAGGGCGATATCGAATAGACAGCCTACTAGGATAGTAGACGTCTTTTGCTTACAGTCCTTATTACTAACTCTTACCTAATAGACCCCTTTATAATCGCACTTTAACTACACCTTCTTTAACACAGGGTTATTTTTGCTCTTAGTTATTTTGCTTCTGCGCTTCACTACAGCATAGCCGTAGTTAAGGGCAAAGTTATTAATAGCCTCGAGAGCTTACTCCGTAGAGGTATAATAGTTCTCGAGGGGTAGGAGGGGTAAGACAATACAGATTACGCTATCTTCTATTAGGGGATCTCCCGCAGCGTCTTTAGCAGCGCCTGGAGTAGCTTCTTCGGTAGTTAAGGGGTCTTCGGCTGTTAAGGGGTCTTCGGCGAATCGGTATTCGGTAGGTAGGTCGCTGCGAGTAGCCGTACCAGGGTTCTCCTCAATATCTGACGAGTAATACAGCTCTAGCCCGAGGCCTACTATATTAGGCGATGAGGGAGAGGGTGTAGAGAGATCGTATATAAGTAGAAAGGTTGAAAGGAAGAAGATGATAGGGAAGAAGAAGATAATAGGGAAGAAGAAGATAGAGAGGTGGAAGATAGGGAGCTAGATTAGGTAGGCGGTGGAGAGAACAAGGGCGGTAGGAGTGGGGGAGGAAAGCGGTCAGAGCCGTGGTGGGATTGATGACTAAGCTTGGCTCAGGTATTAGATGATTAATCAATTCCGGCCTTACACTAAACCCGAATAGGAAATTCTGCCTGAAGAATCGGGCACGGGGGGGTCGCACTAGCCAAGGGGGGGTCGCTGTAGACCGAGGGGGGGTCGCTCTAGCACGACCCTAGATATAATCCCGAACTAATATAGTAAAACCGAAGACCTTCCTCCTGAATTTAAAGACTTTATTAACCTTATCTCCGCTACTGAAGTAAGAAGGCTCCCCTCCTAAAAGGAGACTAACTACGTAATCAACCTCCTCCCTAATACCTTACCTCTATATAGCCCTATTTACCCTCTCTCTTAGGTCGAACTTAAGGAATTATAGGAGTATCTCTAAATTAACCTTAAAGTAAATAGGATATAACCCTTTAAGAGCCCTATAGGTATACCGATTCTTTTTGTTCTAAAGAAGGATAATAGCCTCTGCTTATATATCGATTACTAAGGACTTAACTACGTCTTAATAAAGAATCATTACCCTCTCCCCCTTGTTTCGGAGATCCTCGATTGTCTTACTTACGCTAAGTACTTTAGTAAGATCGATATTTAAGACGCTTACTATCGGATCTGTATTAAGGAGCATAATAAGTAGAAAACAGCCTTCTATACTTACTATAGCTATTTCGAATATATAGTAATACCCTTTAGCCTTATAAACGCCCCTATAACCTTTCAAAACTATATATATATATCGCCCTTCGGGGTTACCTTAACGTCTTTTACGTTACTTACCTTAATAATATCCTTATCTTCTCTCCCGACTGTACATCCTATACAGAATACGTCTGACTTATCCTTAAACGCTTATAACAATACGAATTATATATTAAACCCTTAAAATATACCTTTTACTAAAAATAAGTTAAATTCCTAGGCTATATTATCGATAGGACAGGAGTTTCGATAGATCCTACTTACGTCGAAGCTATTAAGAATTAGCCTTTACTAACCTTAGTTCGCGATATTTAGGTCTTCCTCGGATTCTGTAATTTTTACCGACACTTTATCTGTCGACATGAGTGGGTGCATAAGCCCATGAGAGCTATCGAACTTGACAGAATGCGACGGAACGTACATGTTATGATATACCCTGGCATGAGGTTATTCCCAAGTGTTGGTGCCTCAGGCTTCCCGGGCCTGATAAGCCGGCAGGCTTTCTGTGGAGGTTCGCTGGGGCTTCGGCTGCAGTACGTGTACGAACTCCTGCAGGGAACACCCTTGACAGAGGTTACACAAGCCTCGTGTTTCACCCCGCTCCCATTTCCCTACCAAGGATACATCTCCTTCCTGTTTGAGCGATGAGACTGTATATAAATTGACCCATGTTGAAGAGGTTTTACGATCTTCAAGAAACAGTCTTTGACCTTTCTACACTATTGACTTGGCTCCATTTCTCCTACCTGATTGACAGGCCTCTATCCTGACTTATAGAGTATATCCTTACAGGTCCCGCTACTAAATCAATATTATTTCGGATTATAATAACCTAAAGCTCTTTATACAAAGCCCTAGGCTTTATAGCTATTAAGTACGTTAATATATAGCCCTTTCTACTTTTGACTTTGTAATATAGTATCGCGTAGGTAAGATAAACCCTACAGATAGCCCTTCCCGAATAATAGGATTGGCTTTAAGGGACGCCTTAGACGCTATAATTTTGAATCCTTTATTAGCTCGAATAGCTACCGAAGAGGGGCAGGAACAAGATCTACCTACTATAGTATAGTCAATTAGCTTAGCTAATTTATACTAGCTTAAGCAGGAACTAATACCTGAACTAGAGGTCGAAGAGACCCTAGATAGGTCTTTAGATACCTAGAGGTAAGAATTAGGTCGCTCCTATCGTTCTTATCACGAAAAAGTAAGGCAACGCTACTAAGGCGAAAGTGCCTATATTGCTAGTATTTTAATAGATCTAAAAACCCTTATTTAGGAGATTTAGAGAGATAATCCTAAGATAGGTAAGATCCGAATCTCTATTGAGCAGAAAGCTCCTAGGTTCGACTCTTAGACTATTAACTTAAATAGAGTCGTTCGCTTCGAAGAAAGCTTATATATTCTGTCGGATTTACAGGGTCGGCATAAATCCTTCTGCGTGCACAAGCAAGCGAGTGTGCACGGTTGGTCAAATCAGTATACGATTGGCGAAGAATCGTATAGGTCAAGTCAAAAAGGGTCGTACGATTCGGCTTAGAATCGGAAGTTAACTTATGATAGAAGAATGCTCCAACATCATCACAATCATTAAACTTGATTCAACTAGCTATGGAAAAGAGGCAGTATTTATAATCTTCATGAAATCGAGGCAATACGTCAGAATAGAATCTCATAGAAATCAGGAGAATAGAGTGTTGAAGCTCTTTCGTCATGTGTGCAATCTGTTGATGTCAATCGTTGAAGATCGTCGTCACGTGTACGTTCCGTCGCATTCTGCCAAGTTCGATAGCTCTCATGGGCTTATGCACCCACTCATGTTAACAGTTTATTTAGACGATTTTATATCGATATAACGTATAAAATATATCTAAATAGATAGCTACTAGATATTAATATACCCCGTTATAGATACGAAAGTTTCATATATTAATAGTTAAGTAACATAGATGTTACGATTCGTACTTTTCGTATTTTTGATGGTCTAAGCTTAGGGGTTCAACTAGGGTTTAACTTAGCTTAGCGGCAGGCGCCGAGAGGTTCAACCTCTCTATAGGGCTTATTATTTATTATATATCGGATATTTTTAAACGAATAATTAGCATCTATATAGTCTATATATATTTCATATATCAAACAAAAGTTTCCTACTAAAATAGTAGTATAACGTGGTTGTTACATGCTGTATTATATTAGGGGTTCAACATGTTATAAGGGTCCATGTACCCCTTTGTTCCTATAAATTCATGGGTTTTTCGTGGGTCCCATGGGTATACCCATGCTTGGCATAAGCTGGGTTTGGTTTAGACCTTAAAGCCCATAGGTATACATGGGCTGGGTCTTGGTCAAAATCTCAAGCCCATGGGACCCATTTGATAAGGCCTAGCGCTCTCTGTTCTATAGCAGATTTCTTAATAGGACTCCGGAAGCCCCTAGCGGGACCGGCCTAACACCCTTTAACGCGCGCAGCATCGCAATATCGGTCGAGAAGCTTTGAAACGATATCAAATGATAGCGCAAAGAGTTAGATTGAATTTGCCGTTGTTTAGAAGTTGCTAACTGGCGTGGTTCCTGATACATTTCAGAAATTCAATTCGACGCTGAAGTTGTTTTCGCTGTTGATCCATTTGGGTGCGCTTACCGCATATCTTTTTAAAGTAAAAATTGAAACAGGATAAATTTCAAAAACTCAGTCCACAGACCTGAAATATGCCTGGATTTGGAAAACTACCATAAGATGTTGAATAGCCATGAAGCAATGCTGTCCGTGCCAAGGTGGTGCGCTGCATCGCCGCATCTGAATATTTAATAACATTCATTCACTGGGGACACAACCCTCCCGCGTCTGTCTGATAGAACTATAGTAAATGAAGTTCCAGCTCGCTGCCCCCTCTCTCTTACTATCTCTGGCAGGCATTACTCCACAGGGCCATCTGTTTAGAGGCACTGCGAGTACCACGCATTCTGGTAGTGGCAGGTGCCAGAGGCGCAGCAGGTCGGTCCAGACCAGCCACTGCCGCCGCACTGGCCATAAATGGCAGAGCACTATTGTGAGATTATGTCAGTTTGTCAATCGCCAAAGCAGGTCACAAAGAGTGAACTCACAGTCCCGCCCGAACCACTCGAGCCGCCACTACCCCCAGAGCCGCCGCTGCCACCAGAGGACGATCCACCCGCAGAAACGGTGATAGAAGAAGAACCGGAGCTTTCATAACCCTCAGTGACAAGAATCTGGTAATCGAAGGCACCCATGTTCATGCCAAGAGCACCCCAGGCATTAAAGTGGTTTGCTGTGGTGACAGTGCCGCTGGTCCGCTTGCTCTGCCGGATTGACCAGTACTGATTGAAGGTAGAAGTACCCTGAATGGATGGCTGATTGACCTGCTGGTGCTTGTAGATATCGTAGGTTGCTCCGTCACTAGTCACAGTTCCCATGTGGGTCATGCTGTTGCCGGGGTTGTAGTCTCCGTAGCTCTCCATAATGTAGTACTCAACAAGGGGGCTAGTAGTCCAGCCGTAGACAGCAAGGTAGGCATTGCCATTCGGATTGAATGAGCCGGAGAATGAGATAGCCCTATTAATCGACGCATCATACATCAGAAAGTGTATTCAAGAGGTCTCTTTCTTGGGCGATGGTGATATTCACTTACTGGGCGCTGCCAGGTTTCCAGCCCTTCCCACAAGTAAAGTCACCGCCATTTTGGTTTGACCAAGTGACGCTATACTGGCCAGCTGCACCATTCGTGTAGCTGACGCTTCCGGCTCCGTTGGTCCAGAAAGAATAGTAGTAGCCGTTGTTAGTGCCTGTCTGGGGCGATGTAATCGCCTGGCGTTTGGAAAAATCGCCGGACATGTCGCCAGGCAGGGCCAAGGCGCCTGCAATAGCGAGAAGGCCAAGTACCAAAGAAGAGATATATACCATTTTGTTTACGATTGAAACTGAGACGATAATGGTGGAAAGCTTTATGGCTTCTAAATGGCCTAGCTGTCTGCATTTATACCTCTGAGGCCATAACTGCTGGGTTGCCTCTGATTGCCAGCAAGAGGCAATAGCGACAGATTTTGCCGGCGGCTAATGTCCCGAGATCACCTCCAGGTTTCTCGAGGCGACAGATACCCTTACTAGGAGCCTGACGATACTATTGTTAAACGCGGCGACGTCGTATTGAGAACTTGGCCCTAAGGTTTTGGCCATAGCCTAAAAGCGGAGCTGCTGAAGAAACGGACCCGTCACGAATGCGGCCATTGCCGCACTAGTGAGTACCACGAGACCCTGAAATGACTAATAATAAGTGAAAAGGCAACTCTCCCCAGTCCAGTAATCCCTGCACTCTTCACTAGGTAAACTCTGATGTCGTCTGATGATCTGGGGAATGGGCTTTTGATGTTCTACCCGCTTCGCAGCCGAGAAACTTGCAGCTACAGATGGTAAGTTGTAGTAGAGGCCCTACTCATGGCTTTTATGGCTCGTATAAAATGACGGCTCTTGCGGTTAAAAAGGGGCGAACGGTTGAGGTCAGGAACCACTGCCGATGTTTCAGCTCTGAGGTCTGAAACAGGAACCAGCCCGTGTTTTCCGTGGTGCGGGGCCTCTTCCCGCAACAGATCTATCTTTCTAGATTTAAGGGGTCTTGTTAGCATTCCCTGTCGTGGATCTGACGTATTAAATGATAATTAATCCCTTTGGTCTCAAAAGCACACTGTATGTCAGCCAGTTCGATCCTTTGCTTCTAGATTTCACTACCTATCAATTCTTGAGAATCAACACAGAGTATTGTCATGGGTAGGTAGAGCGGGCATTGATCGAGAGCATTCCTAAGCTCTAGATGGAGATCGAGTGTCACTTTAGCAATTTTCAGTGGTAGTCAAGCTTCGGGTAACCTATTTAAAGATGCCCAGACATAAGCAAGTAATGATAAAAAATATTGTGGCGATATCCAAGCGTTACCTCCGGTCCTATATTCGCCGGTCGGCAAACACGTACTCTATGGATGGATGTGGGCTCCCCGAGTGGCATCACAGAATTTGCTTGCGTTACTAGTCGTTTAGGGTTCAATTCCTCTTTAAAATCATCTAATTACGAATACAAACTACTACAGTTAGGGACTCGGACACCGCTTTAGTTCATTATGTGTATGAAGGAAGGTTGACATTAATTCTGGTGGAGCTGGGTGTTCATTGGAAATTTAGCTTGGCTTTTCAAGTGAAGCGCCCGAGATGCTTATCAGACAGTAAATTGTGCCCATTCGGACTACACACCTATGATTTTATGGAATGATTCCCGAACTTCCGACATGAGGGGTCTTAAAGATGGACTGCTACACACCCAGCCGATGGACCTCTTCCCAGATATCTCTCAAATAGGCAGAATGACATTGAGGAATGATTACATGCATTCAGAACCATGAATCCTACGGCCGGACCTTAGCGGATAATGTTCATCAACATGCATGCCGCCTCACAAACTCAAGAATTGACAGGCATTTTTTTTGTTCCAATTGAGGCTAATATTGTGAAGTGTGTCCGTGTGATCCATACTGATGAACCTTCTATTATTTTGCAAGCTTACTTTCTATAAGTATTTCCGAGAAGGGCAGGAAAATAAACGCCCCCTCCTGGTAAAAAGGGAAAAAGAAAGCAGCCTGAAAAGATGCATGTAGGATAGAAAGATATTTCATTTCATGCATATAATTAAACACAGTGCCAAACTCCTCAGCTGACAGTTCTTGTTGATCAGCACTCAAGACGTCCACGTCACTTGATTTGCCAGAGTAGAGCTAAGTCAGATGTTAGCTAGATAGGAAACCGAGAACCATAAAGATGGATGTCAAATTGAAATGATAAAACGATGAAGCTTAGAATGCCCTTCCTTAGGTTGGTTCATCTCATAAAGATGGCCAGCCGGTCGAAGAGTCCTGTTTACCAAGTTCATAAATAAACGAAATTCACGGATTGGGTGGTAACTTGCCACGGAATGCGGCGGAGGCTGTTGTGAAGAGATTTTCAGTGTTGTTCCAAGATATTTTTGCCTGCCGTGCTCGTTTTTGATGATGCGTATTCACTTGTTTTCCCTGCGTTGAGCCACCCGCTGAAAAAAGTCTCCAATCAACCAGCCCCTGATCAAAGACATGCTCGGCTACAGAAGTCAGCTTTAAAGACCCAAAAGTGGAACCCTCGACGCATATACCTATTTTGATACTAATCTCTTTGCATGGTTTCCTTTAGGTTTTTAACAGAAGCTAGAACCCAGACTTCATCTGCCTCGTCCTTTCGGGCAACGGACCAGCTGGTGCATTAATATGTCGTTTCCCCAGTACTTGGAGATGGAATCCAACGTACCACTTTGAATTCCGTCCTAGGGCCAAGGCGCATCTATTAGGAATGCTGGGTACAGACCCTTTGCCTAAAGGTATAATTTCTGGGAGCGTATAGTTACTTCCTTGGGGCTCCTTGTTGCGGTGCCACAGATTCGCTTCGTTAAGCGGGAAGCCTCACCCTTGAGAGGAAGGAAATAGTTTCTATGAATAGCCTTAGCGGATGAGACTTCTCTTTTGTTGAGACTAAGACCGAAGTAATTTTCCTAAGGCTATTCTCTAGAGGGTATAGAATCATGTACGCCACAGTCTCTTAAATCGGAATAGCCATAAATGCAGTCCTTAACGAGAACAACCATAACACCGCTTTTTATCCTTAACTTCCTCCACGAAGCATCCCAGGCAGATAATCTGACCGTTAGTTATTGTTATTTATAAAATTCTTCACACCTTAATCAGAATTAGTATCGATGTTGCTGAAAAGGGGGTTTGGCTGTCCAGCAAGTGCGTTTTTAGCTATATCTCGTACTAAAATAATGTTTTCCCGCTACGCGCCTTGATAGAGTTATAAGCCGCCTCTTCTATCAATGAGGAGCCACTAAATGAAGGTTGGCTTTCGTCTCGCTTGGACTCGGAACAGCCATAGGATAGATAACAGACTGCCCTAGTAGATAGAGATTGCTTTTTAAGCGGTCAGTGTGAGTCCTTAGTCGTCTTTTCTGGAAACTGTTATTTCTTAACAATACTTACGGCATCCCCCTAAGATCAACTTCGCAAAGATCCTATCCCATCAATTACCCGTAACTCTAACGTTAGCCGCCTGCAAGATAGTAATTTGAAATAATGTGAGAGGACGTTGTACCCGTGATTGATATCCTGATAGACTGGAGGTGCCTGTTAGGAAATATCCATCAAAGCTTATCGTCTGTACAAAAACCTTACGAGATATTGTAATCTGAGCATGGAATTAAATCGGGGTCCTTCGAATCTCTCGGGTAAACCCCAAATTCAATCAAATTGCCATATGCCATGCTGAGCTTGAAGATTTCAATATTATTAATCCTGATCTATTACCAAGGTTTACAAATTCCTAGTTCCTGAAGCTCCTGCATACTTATACCGTGGTCAAGTATATTCAGGTTCAAAAATATCATGCAAAGTACCCATTCCTAACTTGGAAGTAAAGATTCATGTGTTGGAATTGCCCCAGAGTCATAGAAAATTCGTTACCTCGTCTGTGAGAAGAGCGAATCCCGATGGTGATTCTCACGGCCGGTCTCAGAGATCGATCGAGCTTAGCCCAATCAAGCTCATCCCGCATCCGCTCCAATAGCTCAGACCAGCCTCCTTCGTCGTTAGGAAACCCAAGGGATCCTATCTCAACAGAGCGTAGTGAAAATGACGCCGGACTAAGCAGATCAATCATGACTGACGTGTTGACGCTAAATTTTGAAAGACTAAGATGATAGAGATTTGGCTATTGCTGGATAGGGGAAATCTCTTTTAAAGGAACAACTAGATTGTCAGCTGAATCGCCACCTTCCAATGCCACTGTCAAATGGATGTGAGTTAGGTCCTTGGCCAAGCTAACAGCCTCAGAGAAGCATCCGCTGGTGAAACCTTCATAGTCATAGAACCCGTTGTCTCCAACCAGGAAGGATAGGTGAAGGTGACGAAAGCCTGGGCGTTTCATGATGGCTTCGAACTAGTTATATTCTTCACACGGCTGGGCAAAGATCATGTTGTTGATCCCAGTGGCAAGTTGTTTTGAATCGAACCATAGTTCGGAAATATTATTGTCCTCAATCGAGATAAAACGCGAAGGGAAATTCTGGCCCCTCTCTACAACTCCTTATACTCTTCTTTTGCCTCTGACGACGTTAAAGGGTTAACTGGTGACAGCGCCCACGGCACTGCTGCACAGGAAGCGAGAAGAGAAGAGGGAGACTGAGTCAATTGGTCTATCTAGAACAGGAAGACGAAGCAGAAGGGAACAGAACAGGGTCTATAAGGCCCTGAAGCACAAAGGAGAAGAACAAGGCCTGGTCCTGGCAGGAAATCCCCGGCCTGCTTCATGCAGGCCCAAAGAAGACGACAAACCCTGCAAACCCTATCGAGGTCAAAGGGATCGAGTCATCAACTGGGATTCCTTCAGTCAAAGAAATGTGCTATCCTCTTGTAATAGGATAGTTGAACCCATAAGGAAATACTCGAATCGTAGGTGTTTGATATAACGGATCGAAAATGCGGCCGTGCGCTGCTGGCGTAACAGTCACTCGTCTCAGCTTTGGGAATTGCTCTAAGCAATAAAGGAAGGCATTTTCATCTTTCCGAGATTCGATCACAGCTTGCTGGTCATTGAGAACTTGCGAATACTACTTCCAGTAGTCCTTAAGAGGCATCTGCGCATCCACCTGCTGCTGGCGAGCTATATGGTCGGGCCTGTCCACGTCCCTTGCTTTCCGCTGTTTCGTACTGCGGATGTTCACTTTGAAATCCTGCAAGAACCGCTTAGGACATCCTTCGTCGGTGATTTGCAAGCCACTCCGATCTATGTGCGGTTCAAAATCCTCTCAGGACACTGGAGCCGAAACAAAACGCGCGTCGTCCCAAATAATTTCGGCGATCTGCTCCCTGAAGTCTGGATGATTCGATACAGAGCGCAAGACCTGGATATCCAGCGAATTGGCAGAAAGAAACACGCGCGAGAATGAGAGTGGCGTCGTCTCGCTTAGTTGTTTGCATGCCAAGCGCAAGGACTTGAGATCTCGATTTGGCAAAAACGATGCGACCCAGAACAAAATCTCAGTAGGTAATTGAACCAGCCCGGGACTTCGTACTGTCAATAGAGGCTGACTTTCAGGGTTTTGTGCAGCCATTGTAAGATCGTATTTTGGTTAAGGGAGCAAAATGATAGATGTGCCACGTGCGGGCGCAGATTTATGATTTCTCACTTGACTGCAATGCTCTTATCGTAGTCCATTGTAGCAGCCCGGCCGCTTCTCTTCATCCTTGCTCACTCCTGTAGAGTAAACCTCGTTAGTCGAAAGGCACTCTGTCTGAAGTTGCATGGCAGAAACAAGATCCTCTTCAGGCGCATTTGCCTGTCAGCCCTGCAGATCTTCTAAACGTCATGTTAGTCCTCGTATTCGAAGTATTCCCGCACCCTCAAATAGACACTGACTGACCCCTAGTGTGATTGGGCCAAACCACAATGTTCGACCTGCAATAAGGCTAGCAAGTCTGTACGTATGTCTCTGGGCCCAAGAAGCGAAAGTATGTTACATTATTCCTCGTTCATCTTTATGTCGCCTTGCTTTTCTTTACTTGAATTTCACTTCGTTCGTACTAAGACCAGCCAGGCGGAAGTACTGGGACGAGAATTACTTTAAGTCCCTCGAAAACCAAAATACAAACATTATTAGCCGTCCAAAGAAACGAAGGCTCTGTTCGAAATGGTCTAGACGCGGCGTTTTTAGATGAATCGCTTATCGTTGGGTCATAAAGCAAAACGTTACACAGGACCAACCTGCTTTTGGTGAGGCGAGCTCGAGAAGAGACGCTATTCGGACAGACTCAAAAAGTAATGGAGGAGCTAAGCGTTATGATGTGGCGGACCAATCTTGCAGACGGTGTTGCGATCGATAACGAGCCGAACGTTACTCCTGTCCCTAATCCTCAACGGGCCCTGACACATAACCCAATCCGCGCTATCCCGGAAGTCGTCATAGATTCTACTCGCGTCAACAATATTGCCAGACTTTTTCTTCAACATATCAGTGGTGAACATCAGTTCACGCGTATAAGACGACTAACCCGTTCTCCAGTTTCCCGACGAGCAAGCCGATCTACTATTCCTCCATTTAGCGATGTTAGCAGCTGGAGCGACATTTGAGCATCAACCAGACTCACTGGAAGTGTGCAATCGATTCGCGGAGCTAAGTGAACGTTTAGCCTTCATATGCTCCAAATATGCACCATCTATCCACGTTAATCCAGGGTCTCTGTATTTTATTATGGCGGTCTCTCGGCCTGGGGCACAATCATATTGGGTGGGCATTCCTTTCGATGGCTGCTGGAATGGCTGTGCACCTTAAGCTGCACGTTTTGGTTTTGGATGAGGTCGCTTCGCAAAACTTGAAGCCAACAATAGCCAGCGCACAAGCAATCTGGTCTTTTTACATGACGGATCGCACATCAATATCCATATTAGGAAGAGATTGTATTCTTCCGTGGCGTCGCGTGAACGTGCCTACGATCGATGCATTCTTTTCTGAAGGAGAGAGAGATATCACTGAACTATCCTTTGCATGGTAGTGCAAATTTTGGTATATGCATGACCAAAATATGGACCGGCTGTATGCTTTGCGTGTGCTTCTAGTTTGTGGATGTGAAAACAACTGATCAGTATTTAGATTCTCGTCCTCCTTCGAAAAGCGCAGTATCCCTGATCAAGTCGGTCTTCTCATTTCGACGTATGAGATTCTGAATCAATTCATGAAGTCTCGAGACTCGCGGCTTGATCTTAGTCGCGGGGTTTCTCCAAAATTTTTACTACTTCTTCATATGGCATACCAAATGACCATTTTGAGAACCATGCCTCCATTCTTCCGACTGTTTGCTCTGGCCCGGACTGACGGTCAGATTTCACATACAAGGCCTCTTGTTCTGCAATCTATCACGTCTGTTGCTTCACCCATGATCCAGCTTGTGCAAAACTATTGGCAGTGGTATGGATTTGAATATGCCCACCCCCTTCTGATACATCACCTTCTCAGTGCATCCATCGTACATTTGATGAATACAACGACAAATTTGCTTACACTCCGACGCCACAGCACTTGATCTGTGGGAAAATGTCTGACACTGTTCATGGAATGAGTCGGTATTGGGAGCTCTGATCACAAAACGCATAAATGCAATCAAAACATTAGCCCGACGCTGGAAGGTGGAAGACGCGTTGCTACCTGAAGATAACCTCGATCCAAGTTATGAAAGCTGCGGTGCATTGAATCATATAGCGCCGTTTGTGGGAATTTTGATCAACTCCTTCGAATGTCGGTCAGACAGTAGAGCGGAGGACTGATGTTTCTCACTTCTCTCGCCCTCACGAGGAACTCGATGCAAGTCTTTCACATGATATGGAGCAGCAATATGATCTTTCTATGGATGTGCCTGCGTCAGGGTACGACCACTTCGGTCTTTCGCCGTTCTTCCCTAATTTTGGGGAACTTGGTGATTTCTTCCGGATCTCTGATAGCTAGTTACCTCCAAGAAGATACTTGGCCGTCTCAAGAAAGATGTAAAATATTTGCATATGCGAATTAGATACACAAGGGAGCTACTTGAAGCCGGATGAATCCCCAGCGATCGCATTAACGAGATCCACATCGGTGTCATCGCGGGCGGTCTTCTTTACTTCCTTACAGACATTTAGCCACATCAGATCAGGGCGATTATAATGACCGGTTGCGTCTGCGAAGAGCTTGGTGCCAATAATCTGGTCCATGTCAAGATCCGCATGAATGATCGCTTCAGTCGTACTCTCCATGGGTTCAGTTAACAATTTCCCGTCCGGGCCAAATACTGCGGAGCTCCCACCGCCGGGGAAATACATCAGAGCTCCGCCAGACGTTTTCATCTTGTCAATTCCCTTTTCTGTTATCAGAGCTGTGCCATCGAGGACAAACCTTTGTGTCTCAATCGCATAAGTCCGCGACAAGTTTTGGCAACCTATGTCTAGCAATCGGCGATGAACCAGAGTATCGAGAAATGAAGACGAGACAGCATACCTTCAGCCGACATTGACCACAAGTCTGAGCCACCAGTGTGTGGAGTCAGGCTTGGCCAGGCAAAAACAAGAATATCCTCATTTTGCGAGAATATGATATTTCAACAACGGCTGGATATGCTCCCAGCATGAGAGAGCACCGACTCGCCCAAAGGGAAGTTGCGACACCCTTGCAAAGCACTCCCCGGACGCATCGCCAAATATAGTACGCACCATATGTGTTGGCTTCATCTTTCGACGATGTGACTTGATGAGTCCATCTGGGCCAATCATCACCTGTGCGATATAGACAGAATTGTTATCATTCTCAGAGAATCCTAGCGAGACAGCGATGGAATGAGCCTTCGCTGCATTCTGTATCGCCTTCATCTCGTCGGAATCGAGACGCAGGGAATTCTTGACATAGGCAACGTTTAGCTCCACGTCTAAAAGGCGAGACCTGACGAATGTAAGCAGTTAGCAAACGTGGATGATATTGCCACACATATAAGAAGGATACGGCATACCAGATCAAACAGGGATAACCGGGAATCCAACATTCAAGGAGAGCAATAACGTATTTTTTGATCCCTTCTTCAGCGAAATGTTAAAGCGCCACCTGTCACAGCCGAGGGGCCTTGATTAAATACATCGCGGGTGGCACTGCGGGTGGCTTGCAAGGCTTCACATCGTCGCAGGCCAAAGCGGCGAGTTTCCACCCCCACGAACTCCACAGCGGCGAAAATTTGGAGCAATCTCGCACCCCAGAAAGCTACCAAGAAATAGTAATATTGGGTTCGTGCACCCACACCTTGACTATGGTTAAATTTTGCTTGACATGCATGACATTCCGTCCTAGTCGAATTGAGTTTGTACTTTCCCGGGTGTACTCGATGGAGAAATTTCGGGGCAATGCGTCATTGAATCACTCTCATTGACTACTTGGGAAATGATGCATTGGTTTTCGATTCAATCAGCACATTCATCTGCGTCATGTGCAAGAGAACATGAAATTTTTCAACCTCCCTTCCTGCAGTACATAGTCCGTCAGCCGAAGATATTGCCATAAATTTCCGGAAAGGCAAGTTTACCTCATGATATACCTTACCATCTCTCTTGAAGACTTTTCATTCGCACGGGGTTGAGTATATGCTCTTCATTTAAATTTTCCCGCTGTTTGATTTAGTAAGATTCAGGCATACGAATTGCAACATGACCAGATATCTCAAAAACTGGTTGTATCAGTCCACGATTGTAATTTTCTTCCTCGACAGTGTTGACGCTTGGACGACGTCTACTCGAAAATCTTGTTTAGGAGATTATGTCGCATGGTGGGGTATAATGAGGCCTTTTTCTCCCTCGCTGGTGACCAATGCCCCAAATCTCGAAGTTCCCAATATTTGACTTCCCTTCTTTGACTTCTGGCCCAACAACGATCAGTGCATATCCCAATTTTTCTGTGGGCTTCTTGTTCGAGCAATACTGGAAATTCCAGCCTGCTATGGCAATGTTTTGAGCGGAAACATTCCCCAGGCTGGTTAATCAAGCAGCAACTTTCTCAGCTGTAGTACCTACTTCACTCGATATCGCCCTGCCGGTGATAATGTCGCTGTTCTCATCCATTCAGTCCAGTCGCCTGGTATTTCAGTACAAGACGACGCATGGAGACCGCACCGAGGCCTAAATCCAGACTGCGGCTAAGCTGTAAACATTCTAGCACTCGGACTTCAAGTGCCGGCCTCAATCCATGCGAATGCGAGAAGCTGTGATTTGGGTTGGTGACGGAACAGAAGCAACAGTGGATCCCGGAGGAAGGGATATAGTAAACCCGCATGTATTAGTCATTATTATGCTCACATAACTAAGTTAACGTAGTTAGTGGGAATTGATAGGGACACAACAGCTTTTTACTACTGGCACAACAATTATGTAATACCCGCATCACATAAGGGAATTGATAGGGACACAACAGCTTTTTACTACTGGCACAACAATTATGTAATACCCGCATCACATAATCAATTTTGCCAAGAATCTTTACCATACATTACCGCAGCAACTGCATTACTTACCACTATAGCAACTACATTCTATCAACTACTACTACTATAAGAGCTTCTCTTTCACTGATTCCATTTCATATTATTTACATAGCCTATTATACCCTGCATAAACGAATTGTATGGCCAATTTCTCCGCAATTCGAGCACTTTGATAGCGCTTTCTTTTTGATAACCCTTTGATCTGATGTGTTGTCTTGGTTTTGTTTCCTTTGTGGCAGTGATAATATAGGCTCAAGTATTGGCAGATACTCTGATGCCTCATTATCATAATCGATTCGCCAGAATTGATGAATATCGCTTAATGGAATTAGCTGATGTGTTGATAATAAGCTAGCGATTCGGTGAGCACATAGAAGGCCCATTGTCCTAGTGAATATATTAGTACAGTTAGATAGTAGTGCTTCAGGGGTAGCTCTCTTAGCTATAGAAGCTTGATTAGAGATTAAGGATATTGAATATCGGGATATTCTCTTTGTAATATTCGAATAGAGAAAGTGTGAGCAGAAATTTAGCGTTCTAATCCGATCTTCTGCAAGATCAGACGAAAGGTTATAATGTTAAGCTTCTAATGCATTGTTAATTCGTTCAAAAACAAAGAGTATATCACCTGTTGATCCCCCTATATACTTTTTTAAAATAGCATAAGAGCCTTCTACTCGTGAGGTTGCCCAATTTCCAAAATGAAGATATTGCCCTACCCACGCCCTAATAAACATCTCTTTATAGGTTAGCCAGGTATTTTTTATATATCGAAGAGCAGCAGGGGCAATTTGACTAAAATTAGTCTCAAACTTAGCTAGTTAATCTTAATATTCAAAAGTAGTGGATGAATTAATAAGGCTTTTCCACGATTGTATAAAAGCTTCAAATTCGTTATTCGAAGAGAAATACTGCTTCGTCTTTGCAAGCACATTCTTATTTATATGCCAAACGCAAAGTAAGTGTGGACTTTTCGGATAAATCACTTTAATTGCACCTAATAGAGCAAGGTCTCTGTCAGTACAAAGGACTAGGGGAAAGGGTAAAGGATTAAGCCACGAAAAAAAGGTTTGTAGAGTCCACTTATAACTCTCTTCCTGCTCATTTTGCATAAAGCAAAAAGCAATACTAAAAGATAAATTCGACAGTGAAAGGCCGATAATATGTAAAAGAGGCATCTTATATCGATTCGTCTTATAAGTGCAGTCTAATAAAAAGACCCTATTATACTGGTTAGCAAGTCTAATTGATTCAGGGTGAGCGAATATAAAGAAAAGGATATAGCCATCACTATCCTGCTTAAATTTGTATCTCCAATTTTTCTGTTAAAGCGTTTCTCTTAGAAATTCGAGCAGTGTATAATTTCCAAGCTTCTTGCGTCTTAAGTCTGTTTAAATATTATAGATATCTCTTAGTGTAATTAGGACAGTAGGATCTTTTCGTATTAGACTAAGGATATACTATGGCTTTGATCCGATATCAGAAAGAGACTGGATAGTCTAGTTTTGATCTTTAGTTAACTGTCGACGTCGTGCTATAGAATAACCAATCATATTATCATCAGCTTCATAGTTATAAGTAGAGTTTCTGACCTGGATCTCCCATTGACCATTGTTAAGCTTCTTCGCATAGAGACGAAAAGGGCATCCAATTCGCTTAGTGCTTGTTTTCCGGCGCTTTGCACTGTCTAAGGCATTGATTCTATCACAGTAAACACCGCCTCTATCACAACCAAAGGTGGTATTCCTGCTTAGATTTGATGATATAGTAGTGATCGCGTAGCCATGAGATAGTGTATGCTGCTGTATAGAAGCAATTAGCTGCTCTCTAGTCTCAAAGACCTCTTCATTCGGTGGCTCCATTATTGAATGAAGAAGCAGATGAAGAAGCAGATGAAGAAGCAGATGAAGAATGAAGCGAAAGTGAGACTCAGTAGAAGAAAGAGAAGCTCTTATAGTAGTAGTAGTTGATAGAATGTAGTTGCTATAGTGGTAAGTAATGGGGAATTGATAGGGACACAACAGCTTTTTACTACTGGCACAACAATTATGTAATACCCGCATCACATAATCAATTTTGCCAAGAATCTTTACCATACATTACCGCAGCAACTGCATTACTTACCACTATAGCAACTACATTCTATCAACTACTACTATAAGAGCCTCTCTTTCTTCTACTGAGTCTCACTTTCTTCTACTGAGTCTCACTTTCGATTCATTCTTCATCTGCTTCTTCATCTGCTTCTTCATTCAATAATGGAGCCACCGAATGAAGAGGTCTTTGAGACTAGAGAGCAGCTAATTGCTTCTATACAGCAGCATGCACTATCTCATGGCTACGCGATCACTACTATATCATCAAATCCAAGCAGGAATACCACCTTTGGTTGTGATAGAGGCGGTGTTTACTGTGATAGAATCAATGCTCCAGACGGTGCAAAGCGCCGGAAAACAAGCACTAAGCGAATTGGATGCCCTTTTCGTCTCTATGCGAAGAAGCTTAACAGTGGTCAATGGGAGATCCAGGTCAGAAACTCTACTCATAACCATGAAGCTGATGATAATATGATTGGTCATTCTATAGCACGACGTCGACAGTTAACTAAAGATCAAAACCAGACTATCCAGTCTCTTTCTGATATCGGATCAAAGCCACAGCATATCCTTGGTCTAATACGAAAAGATCCTACTGTCCTAATTACACCAAGAGATATCTATAATATTCAAACAGACTTAAGACGCAAGAAGCTTGGAAATTATACACCGCTCGAATTTCTAAGAGAAACGCTTCAACAGAAAAATTGGAGATACAAATTTAAGCAGGATAGTGATGGCCATATCCTTTTCTTTATATTCGCTCACCCTGAATCAATTAGACTTGCTAACCAGTATAATAGGGTCTTTTTATTAGACTGCACTTATAAGACGAATCGATATAAGATGCCTCTTTTACATATTATCGGCCTTTCACCGTCGAATTTATCTTTTAGTATTGCTTTTTGCTTTATGCAAAATGAGCAGGAAGAGAGTTATAAGTGGACTCTACAAACCTTTTTTGCGTGGCTTAATCCTTTACCCTTTCCCCCAGTCCTTTGCACTGACAGAGACCTTGCTCTATTAGGTGCAATTAAAGTGATTTATCCGAAAAGTCCACACTTACTTTGCGTTTGGCATATAAATAAGAATGTGCTTGCAAAGACGAAGCAGTATTTCTCTTCGAATGACGAATTTGAAGCTTTTATACAATCGTGGAAAAGCCTTATTAATTCATCCACTACTTTTGAATATCAAGATCAACTAGCTAAGTTTGAGACTAATTTTAGTCAAATTGCCCCTGCTGCTCTTCGATATGTAAAAAATACCTGGCTAACCTATAAAGAGATGTTTATTAGGGCGTGGGTAGGGCAATATCTTCATTTTGGAAATTGGGCAACCTCACGAGTAGAAGGCTCTCATGCTATTTTAAAAAAGTATATAGGGGGATCAACAGGTGATATACTCTTTGTTTTTGAACGA